AGGAGAACGTGAGAAAGTGAGGTGAAGGGTGTGGTGAGATGACTGGGTGTGGGACTGGAACAGGCAGGCACAGGTCTCCAGACAGCACATGTGTTTCCTCTCTTGGCTCCCTAATGCTGTTTAATCCAGAGTGTAAAGGCGAGTGGTGTACAAGGGCATGAGGTCATCAGGGAGTCTCTGCCTCTCTGATGGTCCCCTCTCCTGCTCTCTCTCCTCATAAAACGCATATTCAGATTTGAGAGGGCTGTGTTTCCCAGCTCCAGGTATGACTCGACCTTTGTCCTGGTAGCAAAGAGAATGAATGCTATAGTTGAAATAGAGATGAGGGGCTTCAGTGCGGAGGATCAGTTAAGATGGAGTAGCACGGTGGCGTTAGTCCCATCCCTCTGCTATCCTGGTGTACCCACAAGACAGTAAGATACTTGGAAATCTTAAGAGAGAGTATTTGGGAAACAGAATTCCCTTCACATCAAGTATTTCCCACACTACTCTCATTCCCTTCATTCCTTCTAGGCCTCCTTTGTGTCTTTTTTTTTCTACCTTCTTCATTTGTGGGTATTCTTAGAAGTGCCCACTTCTCTCTTGGGTCCATGTCTTCTTCTCCTGGAAAGACATCAATTATTAGAGAACAGAGTTATGTTTCTGCAATGTGGAAAATGTTACCTGTGTTGTGAGGCCTCTTTAACCAGGTTAAAAAATAGCCATGGGTAAATAAATATAATTTCTTAGAATGGCATGTATTTATCCAGGTAAATAGGGAGATAATCTTTCAGAGCAGTAAGGTTGCTATTTGATTGAGAGGGTGGTTACTAAGATTAAGGAGGTAGGGAGTGGGAAGAGATAATTACAGAAGGAGAAATAAGACAGCCAGAGAAGTAAGAGAAATTACCCAAGTTTAGAGAGTAGCTGCCCAAATTTGAACAATAATTCAGTAATTCCCCAGGGAAAACACATGTACATGTGCACTTTTCTTATCCCTTGTGTGCCTTTGACAGGCATATAATATATCAATACTCATTAAAAAAACGTATTCTACAGCATATGGAAGTAATCAATATATGGCATTGATATATGGTATGTTATTTATTTAATAAGAACTATTGTCAATAGTGTTTATTTATTTTTTTTTTGAGATGGCGACTTGCTGTGTCACCAGGGTGGAGTACAGTGGCGCAATCTTGGTTCACTGCAACCTCCGCCTCCTGGGTTCAAGCAATTCCCCTGCCTCAGCCTCCCAAGCAGCTGGGACTATAGGTACACACCACCACACCTGGCTAATTTTTTGTATTTTTAGTAGACATGGGGTTTCACCATTTTGGCTAAGATGGTCTTGATCTCCTGACCTTGTGAACCACCTGCCTCGACCTCCCAAAGTGCTGGGATTACAGGCATGAGCCACTGCACCTGGCCAGTATTTAATATTTTTAAAGCACTTTACAATTACAAGAAACTTTTATATGTATTATTTCATTGAGTTAAATTGGATTGTTCCAGTGGATTACAAGGGACAAAGTCTACATTTTCAGGGGGCTGGTAAGAGAAGTTAAATACCTGGAAGATGCTATACTAGCTAGTTTGAAGGGCTAGAGTGGTGGAGGGGGTATTAGCCTAAGCATGAACCAGGGAGACATCTATTCCTCTTGGAATCATCTATTCCAGCTCTTAGAATCACCTCTATGTCCATTCAGAATGCCTTGGCGGGGTTGCGGGGGTCAGTACAATGAGGCAAGACTGGAAAAGTGTCAAGACTCCTAATGTTACAGAGAAGAACCAGGGAATGACTGTCTTGATCACCAAGTGAAGATGCAAGGATAATAATAAAAGCAATACAAACATATTCAATACATAATGCTTTCGTATTATCAGTACCCTTTAAGTTAGGTGTGTTGTTGTTGTTGTTTGAGACAGGGTCTTGCTCTGTCACCCAGACTGGAGTGTAGTGAGGTGATCTTGGCTCACTGCAACCCCCATCTCCCAGGCTCAAGTGATCCTCCTACCTCAGCCTCATGAGTAGCTGGGACCACAGGTATTTGCCACCATGCCTGGCTAGTTTTTGCATTTCTTGTAGAGACAGGGTTTCATCATGTTGCCCAGGCTGGTCTTGAACTCCTGCACTCAAGCAGTCTGCCTGCCTTGATCTCCTAAAGTGCTGGGATTACAGGCATGAGCCACCGCAACTGGCCTTAATTAAGTTTTTAATCCCAGTTTTATGGATGAGAAAAGTAAATGCTCGGAGAAGTTAAGTGACTTACTGAAGGCTGCACAGCTATTAAAGGTAAGGCCAGGATTCAAATCCAGCTTTGTCTGGAGGGTAGAGAAAAAGCAGGCTGCGGAGATAGGAATCAATTTGTCTAGAGTTCCATGTCCAACCATTTTCTTGCCTCTGTAAATGTCTCTCTGTTCCTTCCCTTAACTTTCTGATCTGCTTCTCTCCTTGTCTGTTTTTCTCTACAGTCTCCCTATCACACTACCCCTCTTTACATCTCTTAACATTTTCAACCTTTATTTATTGGATCTGTACATATATCATGCCCTGTTTTGTTTTATAAGACAAACGGAAGACCTGGTTTTGCCCTGAAGGAGCAGCAATGGCACAAAATCTGCCTCTTGCTCTTCTTCAGCATCAGGCTTCCCACCCACCCCGTCGCCTCATGGAACGTCTCTGTCTAGACCAAGCATCTGGACTTTGGCGACACAGTAAGAAATCAAAGGAAAGGAGCACCAGGTTGCATTTCCTCCCAGAGCCACTAGGAGTCACGCTCCTCCGCGCAGAAGCGCCGGCCAACGCAGCCTGACTCTGTTGCCGGTGCGCGCCCTCTGCCGATTGGTGGCACCGCAAAGAAGTCGCGCTTTGATTGGGCTGCTGTCAGGTGTCGCTGCCGGCAGGTTCGGCTGCGCGAGCGGAGGGAGGCGGGTGAGTGAGGGCCGGGGGCGGTGGGGGAGTGGTTGGGGCTGGGGGCGGTATCGGAGGGGGTGGGCGCGGTAGAGTGGACTCGGTGGGTTCTCAGGGCTGGGGTTCGTTCCGGGTGGGCTCGGCTTTGGGAAGAGGCCCTGCGGAGGGGCCTCAGTGTCAGTGCAGGGAGAGTGAGGCGGCGAAGGCGGGGGCGGGCAAAGGCTAGTGGAGTCGGGATGGGAGGGCGGTATTCGTGACCCGGAGCAGTGCGAGGAGAGGACCGAGGAGGGGGTCGGTGAGAGAGAAGATAGGTGTATGGGGGTCTGCGTGAGGAAGAGGGGGTCCTGCGGGAGGATGGAGAAGCGGAGTCGTACAGCGGAGAGGATCAAGGTGGAGGGGATCTGCGCCAGGAGGAGGGGGGCTGGAATCGGGGGTTAGGGGTAGCTTGAGGAATGGGTTGCGGCGGAGAGAAGGCAGCTTCCAGAAAGGGGTGGCGTGAGGAAAGAATGGATGGCAGGCAGTCATTGTGGGGGTCACTGAGGGGTCAGTATAAAGATGTTACCAAGTATGACTCGTGTGAGGGTGTGAAGGACTTTAATACTGGGGAATCCTTGAGTGGGAGGATTAATTGGATTAATGGAATTAGTTGACCAGTGATGGAGGTGCGGGGTGGGGAGGCAGCCGTCAGTAGTGGGACCAGAGTCGTTGTAGCAAGTTGGGGAAAGAAGGCGGTGTGAGGCAGCTGATGCTGAGAACAGGGAGAGGAGCACAGTTGATCAGAGTTGGAATGAGGAGTGTGTCTGATGAATTAAAAATTGCATTAAGAAGAAAGGGGGGCATCCACCCTTCAAGGTGGGCAGAAAGTAGTGTTGGTGGATTGAGTAGTTTTTCTGTGTTGGATGTATTCCTGCTTGAAATTTGTATTAATATTTGCCTTTCACCACCGATGGAGCCCACCATCAAGTGCATAGTGATTTAGGAAATTAGACGATTATGCAAGCGCCCTAAATTCTAAGGGATAAAGAAGTTACACTGTTTACCCTGCCTTCTAACCCTTCTCCAGATCTGATTTAATATAGATGTTCCTGAGAAGAGTGCCTGCCTGCCCCTCCCTCTTTACCTTACTTGCTTATCTCCTTGCTTCTTTCCTTCTGTTCATATTGATTCATGTCAGAGTAAGACTCCCCTCTAGCCCAGTGTAGACACTGAAGTTTTCTGTTCTTTTGTAACAAAGTTTGTCGGGGAGGATGGGGGGGCAGGGCATAGAAAACAGGGAGGTGGCTCTGGGAACACCACATTAAAGCTCAGCTTCTCCCAGAGGTGCATCTAAATAAATCCCGGCTTATTTCATAGCTATTTCTGTCTGGCTGCTATTTTGGCTTTGTTAACTGTGAATTTAGACCTTTCGTCTCTCTTCAGCCACATATTTGTAAACAGTCTCATCCCTATTCAGTTACTTACCATGCCCCATTATATAGTTGCAATAGAATTTCAAGAACATTACTGTAAATTCAGTAGAAAACTGGGAACGACTTAATGGAAGAAAGGGCAAAGGGTTAGTAATCTTAGACTTGAGAGAAAGTCCCTGGTTCAGAGCAAGGATAAAGAATGCAACAAAATTCTAATTGCTCAAACTATACAGAGACCTTGGGAATGTCCCAAGTCAGGGAAATTGGGTCAGGTCACTGAAAAGGAATTTTAAAATAGCCTTTTTTATCAGGGGGAAGAGTATGTGTATGAGTACACAATGGAAATGTTAAGTCTAAGGAGAATGTTGCACCCCCATGGCAGTTGAGAAGTAAAGACTGCATATGATGAAGACTGGAAAGGTCAATGTGTATAAAGGTCAGGTAGAACTTTCTTTCTTTCTTTCTTTTTTTTTTTTTTTTTTTTTTTTTTTGAGATGGGGTTTTCACTCTTGTCGCCCAGGCTGGAGTGCAGTGGCGCGATCTTGACTCACTGCAACCTCCGCATGTGTTCAAGTGATTCTCCAGCCTCAGCCTCCCGAGTAGCTGGGACTACAGGCACACGCCACATGCCCAGCTAATTTTTTGTATTTTTAGTGGAGATGGGGCTTCGCCATGTTGGCCAGGCTGGCCTCTAACTCTTGACCTCAAATGATCTGTCCACCTCAGCCTCCCAAAGTGCTGGGATTACAGGCATGAGCTACCGCGCCTGATGGTCAGCTAGAACTTTTTAGTCAAAATTGCAAACCCTAGTTGTAATGAAAGAGTTTAAAATAAAAATAGAGAAAATAATTATTCAAGACTATTTTCAGAATCTATAAGACTACATATATAAAACATTATTTCTGTAAGACAAGTTCATTTACTTAAGGAGTTTGTGACTTCATTAGAGTCATTGGTCAGTGTTTCTGAGAACTTTTGGAGACCATGGAAAATTGCTGATGTGTGACTCAATTTTTATTTTTGGAAAATAATAACAGATATTCATATCCTTACAATTCATATTAACAAATGTTAACCTTTTGTGTATTTGCTTCAGATGTTTTTTACAATTGAAATAAACATTATAGATAAAGTTGTGAAGTACTGTTTGAATCCTCAGTTCCATTCTCCCTTCTCAAAGGTAACCACTGTCATGAATTTTATGTCTTTCTTTCCAGTCCCTGTTTTTATACTTCTACTAATTATATATGCAGTCACAAACAATATGTAATATTTGTATTTATACAAATAGAATTGTACTGCAGGTATATTTCTGCAGTTTGTATTTGGAAACTGTACATTTATTACATATAGTTCTTATTTTTATATTGCTATTAGTCTGTCATTTCTATATGCTACATTGTATGTATCGATTCTACTTGTAACCTCTGAACTGTTTTCACATTTTCTCATTACCAACAGAGAGATTGAGAACTTCCTTACAAAAGCCTTCTTATGTAGGAGAATTTCTCTACAGCAGGGTTTCTCTACCTCAACACTACTGAGATTTAAGGCTGGATAGTTCTTGGTTGTAAGGAGATACCTTATGCATTTTAGAATGTTTAGCAGTATCCCTGGCCTCTACTCACTAGACACCAATAATATCATTTCAGTTGTGGCAACCAAAAATGTCACCTGCCAAATGTCCCCTGTGCAACAAAATCACAGCTGATTGGTTCTCCATTAGTTGTGTGTACTTAGAAGTGGAACTGCTGGTTCAAGTTAAAGTCTTAAGATATTCTTACTGGTACAGTTTTAGGCAGGATTTTTTTTTAAACTGTAGCTCCTGGTGTAAGGGACCTTGGCCTAGACCAGCACTGGTTTTATAGCACCAGGGGACAACTAGAGAGAACATTGAGATTTCAGTTTGAGGATGGGTTGAAGAAGGCCAGGTGCAGTGGCTCACACCTGTAATCCCAGCACTTTGGGAACCCAAGGCGGGTGGATCACGAGGCCAGAAGTTCAAGACCAGCCTGACCAACATGGTGAAACCCCGTCTCTACTAAAAATACAAAAAATTAGCCGGGCATTGTGGTGCATGCCTGTAATACCATCTACTCAGAAAGCTGAGGCAGGAGAATCACTTGAGGTTGCAGTGAGCCGAGATTGCACCATTGCACTCCAGCCTGGGCAACAAGAGCAAAACTCCATTTCAAAAATAATAATAATAATAATTAAAAGTAAATAAATAAGGAGAATGGGTTGGAGATTGTTGTATGGATGCCTGTATCCTCAACCTCCCAACCACACTAGACCCCTTCCCTGAAAGGATTTTCTGAACTTCTGTATCTGTCTTTTATTATTATTATTATCATTATTACTATTTATTTTTTGAGGCAGGGTGTTGCTCTGCCACCCAGGCTGGAGTGCAGTGACACAATCATGGCTTACTGCAGCCTTGACCTCTTGGGCTTAAACAGTCCTCTCACCCCAGCTATTGAGTAGCTGGGACCACAGGCAGGTACCACTCACTATGCCTGGCTAATTTTAAAAAACATTTTTTTTCTTTTGAAACAGGGTCTTTTTCTGTCACGCAGGCTGGAGTGCAGTGGTACAATCATGGCTCACTGCAGCCTCGACCTCTTAGGCTTAAAAAATCCTCCCAGGTTATCCTCCCAAGTAGCTTAGACCACAGGCACATGCCACCATGCCTGGCTAATTTAAGAAAAAGCTTTTGTAAAGGCAAGATCTCCCTATATTGACCAGGCTGGTCTCAAACTCTTGGGCTCAAGCAGTCATCCTGTTTCAGCCTCCCAAAGTGCTGAGATTACAGGCATGATTCATTGTGCCCAGCCTTAAAAATTTTTTTTGTAGCGATGGGATCTTCTTACGTTGCCCTGGCTGGTCTCAAAATCCTAATCTCAAGTGATTCTCCTGCCTTAGTCTCCCGAAGTGCTGGGATTACAGGCATGAACCACAATGTCTGACTGGACAATTGTCTTTTAAGATGGAATGGATGAAGGATAGAGAGAGCATGGGGTTTTTTTTTTTTTTTTTTTGAGACGGAGTTTCGCTCTTGTTACCCAGGCTGGAGTGCAATGGCGTGATCTCGGCTCACCGCAACCTCCGCCTCCTGGGTTCAGGCAATTCTCCTGCCTCAGCTTCCTGAGTAGTTGGGATTACAGGCATGTGCCACCATGCCCAGCTGATTTTTTGTATTTTTAGTAGAGACGGGGTTTCACCATGTTGACCAGGATGGTCTTGATCTCTTGACCTCGTGATCCACCCGCCTCGGCCTCCCAAAGTGCTGGGATTACAGGCGTGAGCCACCGCGCCCGGCCGAGCATGGGGGTTTTAAGGGTATTATTTGTTTTGTTTTTGTTTGTTTGAGAGAGGATCTCACTGTCACCCAGGCTGGAGAGGAACGGCGTGATCTCAGCTCACTGCAACCTCTGCATCCCGGGCTCAAATGTTGATTCTCTGGCCTCAGCCTCCCAGGTAGCTGGGACTACAAGCATGCACCACCATGCTTGGCTAATTTTTGTGGGTCTTTTTTTGTAGAAACATGGTTTCAACATGTTGTCCAGCGTGGTCTTGAAGTCCTGGACTCAAGTGATCCACCCTCCTCAGCCTATCTAAGTGTTGGGATTATAGGTGTAAGCCAGTGTGCCAGGCCTTAATGTTCTGATATAATGCTTAGAATGTAGGGTGGCCTCAATAAATATTTTTTTAGTTCATCTTTGGGAATAATTAAGATGAAGTTTAGGGGCAAAGGCAGCTGAACTCTCTCATTCCTCTACCTTTGAATTAAATCACTGAATTCAACACTTCTCTGAGGAGGTGGAAAAGGGCTAGGAACATTGTGGAATGAGTCCAAAGTTTGAAATGTCACTCTAACCTTCTCTCCTGGTAGGACTCAACAGTAGCCTTCCTTGAGGACCTGCCTTTCCCATTGCTGACTGAAGTTAATGTTTCTTGCTGGCCAAATCAGGGACATGCAGGCATTGTAAGGGCTGATTATCTGATCCTCTTACTAATTTATTGGTTGGGGTGGAGTGAGCAGGGAGGAATGGGATACCTTGCTTTTCTTTTATGGCTCTTTTAGCATTTCAAGCATAGCCCATATGCCTCCTTTCTTGTTGATCCTTTTTCCTATAGCTTTGTTTTGTTTCACACTAGTACCCTTATAGTTCCCTCTTATTTTTTTCATCCCCATCCCCATCCCTACCCACTGCCAGGGAGCTTGGGTTCTGATCTGATGGGGTACCCCTTTCTGCAGAGCGGGATGAGTGGGTGTTCCGGCAGGGATGTGGTCGTTGACGGCCAGTGAGGGCGAGAGTACCACAGCCCACTTCTTCCTTGGAGCTGGAGATGAGGGGCTGGGCACCCGCGGAATAGGCATGAGGCCAGAAGAGAGTGACAGCGAGCTCCTTGAGGACGAGGAGGATGAAGTGGTAAGAATGGGGAAAATGATGTAACTTGGTGTTGGAGCCTCTGTCCTAAGGAGTTAAGATTCTGTTGGTTGGAGATACCTCTCTGTTCTTTCCAAATGCACAGACTCCCTGTCATAAACAGGCCCTATCCTGGTTTAGGGGAGGAGCAGTAGAGATTGGTTAGGTTGCCTCTCTTAGAAACCCCTGCCCTGGCTGGCCACAGTGGCTCATACCTGTAATCCCAGCACTTTGGGAGGCCGAGGCGGGCAGATCATTTGAGGTCAGGAATTCAAAACTAGTCTGAAAACCCTGTCTCTACTAAAAATACAAAAATTAGCTGGGTGTGGTGGTGGGCGCCTATAATCCCAGCTACTTGGGAGGCTGAGTGAGACTCTGTCTCAAAAAAAAAAAAAAAGAAAGAAAAGAAAAAGAAAACCCTGCCCTTAGGTTCCTCCTGTTGTCTCATGGTTGTTGGTTCTCTAGCTCTCCTGCTTGAGCACGTATTTCCTACTGTGGAAAAGCTCCTTTCTGTAGGCAGTCAGAATCCTTAGCTGTGCCCCAACCTGGAGCAAACTTAGGAGGCACCCTTTATCCCCTAGGTCCAGAGTCCTGGCAAGAACCTCTGTGCCCTAAGGAGATAAGACGATGTTCCCAGAAGTGGGTGATATTGGTGGGAAGTTCTTGAGTTTCTGATAGCACTTCCTCTCTGTAGCCTCCTGAACCTCAGATCATTGTTGGCATCTGTGCCATGACCAAGAAATCCAAGTCCAAACCAATGACTCAAATCCTAGAGCGACTGTGCAGATTTGACTACCTGACCGTTATCATTCTGGGAGAAGATGTAATCCTTAATGAACCTGTGGAAAACTGGCCATCCTGCCACTGCCTCATCTCTTTCCACTCCAAAGGTTGGGGTCTGGGAAGGAAAATGGGGAGGAATGGTGGTGGGAATACTGGTTTGGGAAGTGAGGCTCTTGTTGTCTTATTTCCTTAGTAAAGAGCCGTCAGCTCCTTGTGGCACGCTAGAGAACAGTGCAAAGGAGTTTGCTTTCTGTACATCTTGGAGGAGTTGCCAGGGGTTTAAAGCCTGTATTCTAACCTCAGGACAACTCTAAGTGTCTTAGGATCTCTGACAGAATTGGGTCTCTGGAAGGACTGTAAATATAATTTCTGTTTTACTTTTTCTTGATGAATATTCTAGACTTGGGGAGCTGGGCAGAAGAATAAATGATGGATTGAATGGGTAGAGGATCTCAGTGGCAGCTAATAGCTTTAATATGTTTTTCTATCTCTCTTGCTCTTTTCTCGTTCTCTTTCACTCCCTTTCTTTGACATCTTTATTTCCTGTCTCCGTTCCAGGCTTTCCTCTGGACAAAGCTGTTGCTTACTCCAAGCTTCGAAACCCCTTTCTTATCAATGACCTGGCCATGCAGTATTACATCCAAGATAGGTATAACTTCCTGTTGACCAGTAAGATGGGCGGTGTTGGGATCATGCATGTTTAGAGAACCCACTCTGGGAGGGGCCGAGTCAAACAAACATGCTTAATTTTTGTACCATAATTTTGTGCCTTGGTTTCTTTTAATCCTTGTGTAAATGAAGTCCCCAGCCTCTCCCCTTAGTTACTCCCAGCTATTTTATTTGGGGATGACAGGAGGGAGGTGTACCGGATCCTGCAGGAAGAGGGTATTGATCTGCCTCGATATGCTGTGCTCAACCGTGATCCTGCTCGGCCTGAGGGTAAGTACCTGGCCTGAGGGAGGGTTAGTCCTTCCCTTTCTTGCTTTCTATGACTTAGCCACATTTTCATCTTCTAGACATCTCCTATATACTACCTATATATGTGGGGCTTTGGTTATTGGATTATGGGTGGGATTAGAGCTATGAGTCTTTGGACAGAGCCTTGGACCTGTTATATAGAGATATTACCTCATCTATTACAAAGATATAGTCATAAAAATTTGATGGTTATAGAGATTAAAACCTGGGGAAATGACAATTAGTAATATTCTACAACTTTGCGCCATCGGAATGACCACACACCTACCTACCTTTCAGAATGTAACCTAATAGAAGGTGAAGACCAAGTAGAGGTCAATGGAGCTGTCTTTCCCAAGCCCTTTGTGGAGAAGCCAGTGAGTGCAGAAGACCACAATGTTTACATCTACTACCCCAGCTCAGCTGGAGGAGGAAGCCAGCGTCTGTTTCGTAAGGTACGGGAGATATTTGAGCATCTGGGGAGTCAGAGAGGTAGAAGGGCAAGGATGAAGTTATGGGGAAAGAAGATGGAGAATGGAGAATTTGGGGACAGAATGAAGAATTGAGGTGACATTGTTTTTTCTTCTTTTTTATCCTGAAGATTGGCAGCCGAAGCAGCGTTTACTCTCCTGAGAGCAGCGTCCGAAAGACAGGGTCATACATCTACGAGGAGTTTATGCCAACAGATGGCACAGATGTCAAGGTTATGGTGGATACAGGGATTTAAGAGGTTACAAATGTCTGGGGGTTGGGGTTGAGGTACGTGGGAAGCAGGTGGAAGTATATGGGGAGGAGGTCCTAGAAAATAACATGATGTGAATGTGATTGGCTTTCATATTCAGGTGAAGATAATGAGTGGAGGATATAGACATTTCACTATCAGAGCAGGGGTGAGGCTGACTTAGAAAAATGGCATAATGTTAGTAAATTGTTTTTTAATAAGGACTAGATGACAGTATAGGAGTCCTGAGGAGAAACCTTCATAATGATACTTCAGTTAGGGCTCAGTAGAAAAAATGGTGGTCAGTCTCCTTCTTAATGCTCAGGATTTGTTTGTTTTATTGTTGTTGTTGTTTTACTCCGAAACTAGTCTACAGACCAGTGCTCATATTGTCTTCTCATATACAGGGTGAGCTGTGGGCATACTCAGTGATGCTATGTACCTGCAGGTGTATACAGTGGGGCCAGATTATGCCCATGCTGAAGCTAGAAAATCTCCAGCTTTGGATGGGAAAGTTGAACGAGACAGTGAGGGGAAAGAGATTCGATATCCAGTCATGCTGACTGCCATGGAAAAGCTGGTGGCCAGGAAAGTCTGCGTAGCTTTCAAGGTAGAGGAGCACCCAGGGAGGTTGTGAAATGAGGGAGAAAGGAAGGAACAGGGGTCTGGGAAGAGTAACTGTCTTGTCGTCATCTTTCTGCTTTCCCTTTCAGCAAACGGTTTGTGGATTTGACCTTCTTCGTGCCAATGGTCATTCCTTTGTGTGTGATGTCAATGGCTTTAGTTTTGTCAAGAACTCAATGAAATACTATGATGATTGTGCCAAGATTCTGGGGTAAGAGACATAATGATCTATGCTGGGGAGAATGGGATTGCAGAAGAATATTTGAAAGTTTTTGCTTTGTTTTTAATATTATGAATATGATTTAAAAGTGAAAAAGGCCAGGCGCAGTGGCTCATGCCTGTAATCTCAACACTTTGGTAGACCAAGGCGGTTGGATCTCTTGAGGTTGGGCGTTAGAGACCAGCTTGACCAACATGGTGAAACCCCATCTCTACTAAAGATGCAAAATTAGCCAGGCATGGTGGCACATACCTGTAATCCTAGCTACTAGGGAGGCTGCGGCAGGAGAATCGCTTGAATGCAGGAGTTGGAGGTTGCAGTGAGCTGAGTTCGTGCCATTGCACTCCAGCCTGGATGACAAGAGCAAAATTCCATCTCAAAAATAAATAAATAAAATTTAAAATAAAAAAAGAAAAAAGAGAAAGGACTCCTTAGGCTCCTTGCCTTTTAACACTGACCCCCCAGAGACCATTGTTGTTAATGGTTTTAGACATAACAATTTGTCTTTTTCTGCCATATTCGAATTGTATTTATTTTACCAAATGTGGTCATACTATAATACTGCTCTGCAACTTGACTTCCCAAAAATTTTGTTGCGTAATGTTTAAGCCTTTCAAAAATATATAAGGAATGATGACTATAGTGAGCATCTATGTATTCACCACCTGGCTTAAGAAATAAAATATTAATATAGGCCAGGTGCAGTGGCTCACTCCTGTAATCCCAACACTTTGGGAGGCTGAGGTGGGTGGATCACCTGAGATCAGGAGCTCAAGACCAGCCTGACCAATGTGGTGAAACCTTGTTTCTACTAAAAATACAAAAAATTGGCCGGGTGCAGTGGCTCCCACTTGTAATCCCAGCACTTTGGGAGGCCAAGGCAGGCAGATCACCTGAGGTCAAGAGTTCCAGCCTGGCCAACATGGTGAAACCCCGTCTCTACTAAAAAAAAAAAAAATTAGCCAGGCATGCTGGGCAACGCCTATAATCCCAGCTACTTGGGAGACTGATACAGGAGAATCGCTTGAACCCAGGAAGCAGAGGTTGTAGTGAGCCAAGATTGTGCCACCGTACTCCAGCCCGGGTGACAATAATAAGACTCAGTCACAAAAAAAAAAAAAGAAAAAAAAATTAGC